CTGGGGTATATTTCAGGTACAAGATTCAAGATCTGGAGGATTGCACTTTCCTTAGGTGATTTGTAAATTTAAAGTCCATTTAAATGTATTCTTGTTCACGTGCAAGTGTTTGCATGTTTGAGTTTGCCATTGAGATGTAATTTTTCTAACTTGGAGGTTTGACATGTCAAATGTTGTAAATGAGTTGTAATAAGGTGATGGGCCATTGTAGCATGTTTAAAATGCCATATTACACTTGCGTGTATGTTCACATCATCACACAATAGCATATAATGCAATTTGATCATGCCATGGGGAGTCATTTTGATGCCTTAAGGATGACGTACATCTCTAGTGGCCACTTAGTTTCTTTCGCTTCCGCATTTCGGATCCGATATCGGGTCATTCTTTTGGTTCATCACAGGACACACTGGGTTGAAAAATCCAGGGTCGTCACACTACTGATTTAACATCCTCATTATGATTAGCAAGAAACTTTAAAAGCTGGAGGAAATTTCCTTGATTACTTGAATGCTCAAATTAATCATGACCACGAAATGCAAGCCCTTGTTTTAACAAATACTGAATGCAATCAATTGATGCAGTCAAACGCTTTCGATAATCAATTCGAGTCTGGTCTGATTGCTTGAAAATTATTGTTTGAATGTGTTGATTTTGATTCTTTATATTGATTCCAAGCTTGGTTGTGGGCATTATTTAGCCCTCCAACATGAATCTGATGTCTGTCTTTTTTCTTCCAATTTGAAAATCCTTAACTAACAAAAGAGTCATCACCTGATTGTTCTCCTATATTATGCTTAAAAAGATAGCAATATAAACAAAATAACGCATCTTTTGAAATACTGTATTCTAACCAATTAGAATAATCATTAAACCAATCAGGATTAAATCGTCTTAATGCTGATGCTTGTCTAAATTTCTTTTGTGGAAATTTATGTTTCCGAGGTTGACAAGGACCCTTTAGTATATATGCTCTGCGAATTTGGTCTTGAATATTGGGATTGTAATCTGTAATCCTAATTCATAACCTAGGATCTGAAGGAAGATTTGGTAAGTCAATTTCCATACGACTTTTTTTTAGGTTGTCATCATTTCTTTCTTGAGGTTGATCTGAAGCAAGATTTGGTAAGTCAATTTCCATATGACTTTTTGTTGGGTTGTCATCATTTCTTTCTTGAGGTTGAGGGGATGGTAAGTCTTGTATTCCTTTGTAATATCTTTTCAGATTATTCATTGCTATTTCAAAAATGAGTTCATTCAAACAATGAAATAAATATACTAAAAAAACAATCATATTCAATGAATGAAGAATAAGATATGAAAAAAAAAATAACATAGTCACTTAAATCTAACTGTTCTAATATATTATATATCACATATGTGAAAATAAATAAAAATAAAATTACATGATAATTAATAACCAATTTCATTCCAAAAAATTTCATGGTAAGAAACATTCTTAATAACTACCATGTCTGTCAATCGACTCATAATAAAAATCCATTCATATTAAAAATAAAATAAAAAAACAAAGATATGAAGGTAACTAACCTTATAAGTTAAAACCATATAATCCAATCAATCGCAAAATTTGATAGGGTAAGTGAATATGTGATTTTGATTTGGGCTGTAAGCCTGCAAAAAAAAAAAAAATTCTTAAGTCATATTTATAGGATATTAATTAGTAACACAATTATACAAACTAAATTTTGAAAGAACAAGCCCTAAAATAATTTTGATAGAAATAACTAATAAGTTTTCTAATTAAAATTATAATATCATATAATAATCGTAAATTTAGATGATAAAAAAATAGTACGACTTACCGAGTTTCTGTCTACTGGTAAAGTGGTATGGTTGCTCCGCTTGCTTTTTTTGTATTATGAATTTGTGAAATGTTGAAAACTTGTGGAAAGAAAAATATTGAAGACTGAAAAATTGAAAATGCAATGGAAACACGCTTGTGGTAAAGTAAAAAATGTGAGAATATCTTATAATTTTTGGAAAAAGTAGGAAAGAATATAATATTTTGAGAAAGTCAAAAAAAAAATATCATATTGTTCGGGAAAGTACAATATAATATTTTGGGAAAGTAAAAAAATATTATATTTTGTGGGAAAGTGTAAAACCATGAACGAGCTTTTGATTATATATATATATATATAGTATATATATGTGCACTATTAAATTTTAGTATACATATATAAAAATCTTTCCATAAAAATAATAATAATAATAATAATTAAAAGTTCAGTGGGGCAGTTGCCCCCACTTGTCCCTTTGTGACTACGCCAATAACAATAAATATAATTCTAACTTTCCATAAAAATAATAATAACAAACTTTCCATAAAAATAATAATAACAATAAATATAATTCTAAATTTTCATAAAAATAATAATAACAATAGTAATTATTAAAACTATCCCTATATATATATATATTATCATAAATATATAAATACAACTATTCATGGGTAAATATCCATACCCATTAAACCTCATATCCAAGTAGTTCATGGGACCCAAATGGTTGGTCCATTACTACCATATCCAACTCATTTTAAAATAAAATAAAATAAAACAACCAATTTAAATACAAATAAACACATACCATGTAAACAAATAAATACACATCATGACTCAGCATTTAAAATAATCAATTCATACCAATAATTAATTAAAATAACATTTAAGCATATAAATTAATTTAAACAAATAATTCAATAAAAAAACACATAAACAAATAGCCACGTAATCAAATAAATCATTTAAGCAATTAAAAAATTAATAAAATAATAAATTAAATACCGAGACTATCCTTTTAATATTAGAGGTATTACAACGCTCAAATGAGGTTGAACCCGAATATGAAAAAAGTGGTCAAAAAGGAAGTGGTAAAGCTATTGAATGCCGAGATCATATATCCTATCTTCGATAGCAAATGGGTGAGTCCAACCCAAGTTGTTCCCAAAAAGTTGGAAATTACGGTCGTTTAGAATGCGAAAGGTGAGCAAATTTCTAAACGCACCGCCACTTCATGGCGTGTGTGAATTGACTACCGCAAACTCAACTCCGCCACTAGAAACGATCATTTCCCTTTACCCTTCATTGATCAAATTTTAGAAAGATTGGCCGGGCAAAGTTATTATTGCTTCCTAGATATAATAAAGTGGCACTAGACCCACCTGACCAAGAAAAAAACTATTTTCACTTGTCTATTCGGTACATTTGGTTACGGAATGATGCCTTTTGGTTTGTGCAATGATCCCGCCACATTCCAAAGGTGTATGATGTCAATATTCTCAGACATGGTGGAAAAGTATTTAGAAGTTGTCATGGATGACTTCTCTGTCTTTGGTTCCTCATTCGATTCATGCCTTAAAAATCTATCTCTAGTGCTTCAAAGATGTCGAAAGACAAATGATGTGTGCTCAATGTTACTACTCGCAATAGTACGAATCTTTATAGGATAGGACTATATAAACGGTGTCGATCCCACAAGGAGATGAGTGTTCTTTGTTTTGTTTTTAACTAATCTAATTCTTTTTGTTTTATAGGTAACTGATAGGATTTGATTGATTGGTTATCACGAACATAAAATAAAATTCAACTGAATTTAAATTAAAGAGATCGGAGATAGAAGAAGTCTTAAAGCTTTGACTTCACTACAAACCTTGCACAATGGTCAATCGTTCAACTCTGGGGTTCAACAATTTATATTTTAAATGAATAAAACTCAATAACAAAGCGTATGGTTGGCCTTTGTAAAAATAAACATCACTTAAAAGGTACAAGTTCTTATCTAAATAAGTGCAAGATTAATCACTTGATTTTTTAAAAGCCAATCTAAATATATCACTATAAATGGTAGCAACAACAAAATTATTAGGATTTAGGCAACAACCTACGTCCATGGTGGAGATCCGGCGCAAGTCTTCACTATGTGTAAAATCAGAGATTACAAGTTTTGAGCCCATCACTCTATTTCTGTACGAATATCAGAATCTCTCTCTTACACCACTCCAAACCCTAAATACCCTTATATATTAAGCTACAAGGGACTAATTAGGCTCCATGACCCATTAACAAAAAACCGGGTCAAAATTTTTACCAAAACCCACTTGCTTCTACCCTAACTTTCCTTGAATCCCCAGAGCTTTGTGTGGGCTTTTGGTGAGCTTGGGCCCACACAAAGCTCATCCAACCAGTTGTAAGGGGGTCGCACGCAACCCAACGCCAATTTCGGGCAACAATATCACATAAAGTATCAATTTTCTTACCAATTTTATTAGTAAATTTTACAGAAAAATATTATATATATATATATATATATATATATATATTGTTAATGATATTTTATTAGGTTACTTTGTAGGGTTTGATTAGGTTTCTTTATTTTTTTCAAAAAATATTTTTTTTATAATTAGGGTATGATAATCTTTAAAAGATAGAGAAAAAAGAAAAAGAAAAAAAAAGGATAATAGAGTTTTTGGTTTGACATATTTTTTATTAAACTATTATTAAATTAGATAAGAGAATGAAAGACATTTCACATTTTTTAGGAAATCAAAATATTAAAGGTGGAATACTTTATTTGCATGACATTTATCTAAAATTTAGGAGAGGTAAATGTAATTTACCTCTTTTTTTTTATAACACTAAACCCTAAAAAAAAAAAAAAAAAAAAAAAAAAAAAACTTCATTCAATTTTGTTTGATTAAAAAATTATATTAAGTAACAAATCAAATAAAAGGGCAATTTTGTTTCATTAAAAAATTATACTATTAAGTAACAAATCAAATAAAAGGGTAAGTAAAATCATTTCACCCGCTTTATAGATTAATACTGTATTCTTTCCACAACCATTTCATCTCGAACAACTCGCAAATAACACATACAGTATACTTGAAGAAACAAGAAAAAGGGTAGTCTGGGCATTAAAAAAAAAAAACATGGAATCTTAGAAAGATTTGTCGTAACGTGAATGTCATCTCCCAAGGTTATTTAATCATGAAAGTACTGGTAGATTATAATTGTGTGCAAGGAGTAACAGTGCAATGAAAAATGAAAGGATAAAGAGGTAAGCAATTCATATGGAATATCTATACATGTACCTGAAGTGTGAATCTTTTGTTCTATTTGTGAGAACCCAGTTGATATACATCACCATATCGGTAATTCGGTACAGGTACAGTAATGGAACCACACAAGCGGAAGCGGAAAGTGAAACCCAACGGAAGCGATTGCCGCCGCTCAAAATCTCCGGTGAGGGCATCGTCAAAATTCTTCAAGATAATATTACCCTCCGTTATTAATGAGAAGAAGCTGGTAATATATTATCCCTCTTTCTCTCTCTCTTGATAAATATATTCCATTATTTTATGTTTTATTCCGCTGAAAATCCTTATAAGTCTGCGTTTGGTTCCCTAGAAAATAAATGAGAAGTAAAGAAAAGCTCTGTTTTTTTTTTTTTTTTGGCATTTTACGGATTTTTATTGTGCTTGTTTGGACCTTTTTGCTTCCCCAAGGAGGTGAAGCTGAACGACACTAAGCCAGATGTGAATGAAGATTTTCCCTTGCAATTCTCTCAAAGGAACACAAGGTTAAAAAATTCTATATTTTTCCTTTCTTTTCCTACCTTTTCTGAGAAACTAAACACAAAAATGTGGGCTTTTTATATGGATCTTCTTTATAGGTTTAGTTGCTGGGTGGATCCAGAAATTTTAGTCTGTGGAGAATTATCCATTGAGAAATTATAATTCAGGATTTAAAAAAAAAAAAAAAAATTAGAGAAGAGGAAGGAATAAGTTAATTGTAAAAAAATGAGGTAAAGAAAAAACATTGTTTAAGAATTAGATTTTATTCAACAATTGTTTTAATATTTTAAAAATTCAATTTTCCAAAAAAAATTAATTTGAGTACTTTGATTTCATTTTGAGGAAAATGTCATTATTACGTTGATAAAAAAAAATTAAGAAAAAAAAAAATTATCAAACAATATTTGAGCTTTTAAAGTAGGCTAAAATGGTCGAAATTGAAAAAAATTATGAGTTTTGAGAGGATAAAGTTATTTTATTTCTATAATTTGGGACAAATGCAAAGTTGATGATGATGATAATACATTAAAATTCATAATTATTGGGGCAAATGAATAAGTGTTTTGATATATTTTGGGGGCTCAATTAAAATTTTTCATTACTATTGGTGTCACAAGTTAGATTCGTTTGCAATATTACATTTTTTTTTTTTTTTCCCTGAATGGGTTTTTGTTTTAGAAAAAGATGAAGCATTGAAGTACATAGGATATAGAGAGGGCATACTTTCCCTTTTTATGAAAGCACATGAAAAACACCACTTCCATTAGACTGGAAAAGGAATAGAAAAATCAATCAGACAAATGACACTAAATCAACTCATTAAAATAGAAGTAGGTCAGTAAAAGAAACTCCAAGAATCGAAGCCAAAGCAATCAGAACTGTAGCTCTCGTAACGCCTCAATGAATTCTGCAGTTTCTTTCCCCACCTAGGTTGCATAAGACTGCAGTATAGCTTAGCTTTCGCAGCATTCCCAGTAGCAATTGTAGACAACCAATCCCATAGGTGATAGAATGAAAGAAATCTTGAAGAGCTCCCAACACCACTGCCAAACTGCCTGAGCAAGAGGACAGTGAACTAAAAGATGGCCCTAAAACAATTGTGACAAATGGAAATCACAGGAAGACCTTCTTCTAATGGAACGACATCATGGTGAAGCAACGCTACAGCGGAAGAGACTCTAGGCTTATGATGTGTGTCCCCCAACAGAGATTAAACTAAGTGAGGCCGACACACATCCCAGACAACTTTAAAGCTGAACTTCCCATGCTTCCACCTCACTGCATCTTGTCCAGAAAAAGCAATTGCTTGGATCTAACAGGAGACTAAAATGATTGCGATTCCCAATGCAGAAGTGAATATTCTGGAGCATAAATTTTCTGACCTGGATCATTCTATTCCAAACTGAACAGTCAGTTCCTTTGACCACATCATTCCAATAATCAACCAAGCAACCAAAGAAGCTTACATTTTGCAGAGAAGTTGATATCTTCAATTCTTCTAACTCCAAAACCTCCTTCTGATCTAGGAAGAGCTACTTTGTTCCAATTGAAAGATGGAGCTTCCTGGTATCATCATGAGAACCCCACAAAAACCTCTTGACTTTGCTGTTGAAGACCTTTCTGGTGCCCTCAGGAATGTTATACACAGATGCCCAGATCTAATTAACTCAACCCTGCCTGCTAAAGAGAGAGAAGAAGCATTCCAAGAAGAGAGCTTAGCATTAACCTTATCAAGTAATGGAGTGCAATGACTCTTCTTGAGAGAACCACCAACCTAAGGCAGTCCAAGATCCTTAACTGGAAGGTTGCCTCTAGTGAAATGCAGAAGCCTCATTATACTCCTTTTCTTCTTGACAGACTTAGAAAATATGACCAAACTCTTGTCCTTGTTGATCATACTCTGGAGTGCGTGAAATTGGGCGCCACAACCCCCCCCCCCCCCCCCCCCCCCCCCCCCCCCCCCCCCGTTATATCAATTCTCTAACATGCCTCCTCCTCCTCATGCGTGGCCTTGTTTTGGTCCAACATGTGTTCTAATTTCAACGGTTGGGTTTGAACTCAGTTACTTATTTTCTCTGATACCATGTTAACAACCATCTACTCTAAAAGCTTAAATTGTTAAAGGCAGTGTAACTTTAATATTTAAATTCTCTAATAATAACATTTACAATTTTTGGAGCTACATTCATGTTGTGTGAGTGCTTTCATCTTCACTTAAACAATTGAGCCCAATTTAATTTTTCTATTGGCAGAGGATCCCTAAAAAGTTTGTCAGGAAATATGGTGATGAACTCTCTGCTGTTGCCATGCTCACTGTTCCCACTGGCCACGTTTCACATGTGGGATTAGAGAAGGCTGACAAGATGCTTTGGTTTTGTGATGGTTGGCAACAATTTATGGAACGTCACTCAGTCAGTTGTGGGTACTTTTTAGTCTTTAAATATAAAGGAAAATCAAGCTTTGATGTTCTTATCTTTGATTTGACTGCCACCGAGATCCAGTATTCATGCACTATTCGCAGTAGTTCTGAAGAAAACAATAATGGAAAATTATGTCAATTATCTGATGAGGAAGAAATCGAAGATGATGACTCTGTTGAAATCTTGGGGTCCTTAGGTTTTGTTGGATCTTCATCTAAACTTATTCTGGGACTCGACAAAAAGGGTAAAAGTACAGCTTTGCTGGAGAGCTCGAAACCCACTCCTCGATGTCTAACAAGAACCAAAAGCTATAAAAAAGATCAGGAGCAAACAATTGAATTAGTGAATTGGCATGGAGCGTGTGGAAGAAAACTAAGCAGAAGCGAAACGTCAAACTGGCATGATTCTTTATTGGAAAAATCCAAGAGAAAGAACAAGTTTGTCACTAAGAATATTCAGAATTTACAAACATCGGCTCCAACAGTTCGTGATAGGGGTTTTGATCAGTTGAATGAGAGTGAACTTAAGGACAAAACATACAGAATTGATGTAGAGGAACAGCATCCGACAAAAATTGCAAATAGTTCAGATGTGGCGACTCAAAGAAATAGAGATACAAGTCATCAGACCACAAATCGAAGAATTGTTTCTAGTAAGCTTTCAGACTACTTTTTTTCTGCCAGAAGTGATGTGAGAGTTGATTTTCTTGTCACTAATTTGATAAATTGCTAAACAAGAATGGTGTGCAGAAATTTTTTGTAAAATAAGAATGGTGTGCAGAAATGCTTGGACTAATACTTGTTCAATAACTTGTTTGACAGGGGGATCAGTGCTAAACGAAGCAAGAGAGAGGGCAACTAATGCTGCAAGAATGTTTAAGCCTGAAAATCCTTTCCATATGGTTATATTGCGTCCATATAATGTAAACCACCACTTTTACCTGGTGAGCTCCTGAATTCATGTTACATGGTGTAAGATTTTTGCTTGATCTGTTTATGTTGCTGCACTGGTCATGCCGGTAAATATGTCCAACCAGCTGCTTATAAGTAGAAACAAATTTCTCCCAATATATTAACCTTATATCAAGTATTATTTCAAGTTTGATGTTGGAATGATAGATACCGTTTTTTTTCTTTCTTATGCAGAATATACCATTTGAATTTGCCATGAAGATGAAGTCTTTGCTTGGTGTTTCAGATATTGTCAAGCTTCAGGTTTCTGATGGAAGAGAGTGGCATGTCCATTACATTCATAAAAGAAGGCGGCCAGTCGCAAGATTATGCAAAGGTTGGAGAACCTTTGCAAAGGAAAATAATTTGATGGAAGGAGATATTTGTGTTTTTGAGCTGATCAAGGTTATGGATTTAGTGCTAAAAGTGTCCATATTTCGCAATGCGGAGTATGCAGGGCAACCAAACCAACCTCATCAGTTTGATGAAAGCATATATTCAAAGACTACAAATCAAAGAACTGTTTCTAGTAAGCTTTCAGACTACTTTTTTCAGCCAGAAGTAATGTAACAGTTGATTTCTTGTCACTAATTTGATAAATTGCAGATGGGCCATTGGTAAAACAATAATGGTACTGTGAAGAAATTATTGGTATTAACACTTGTTCAACAACTTGTTCGACAGGGGGAACATTGATAAACCAAGCAAGAGAGAGGGCAATTAATGCTGCAAGAATGTTTAAGTCTGAAAATCCTTTCCATATGGTTATATTGCGTCCATATAATGTAAACAATCAGTTTTCCTTGGTGAGCTCTTGAATTCATAATACATGGTGTAAGATTATTGCTTAATCTGTTTATGTTGCTTCATCGGTCAAGTATTATTTTCAGTTTGATTTTGGAATGATAGATATCTTTTTTTCTTTCTTATGCAGAAAATACCATCAGAATTTGCCATGAAAATCAAGTATTTGCTTGGTGTTTCAGATATTGTTAAGCTTCAGGTTTCTGATGGAAGAGAGTGGCGTGTCCGTTGCATTCATGATAGAGAAGGTCGACAGGCAAAATTAAGCAAGGGTTGGAGAACTTTTGCAAAGGAAAATAATTTGGTGGAAGGAGATGTTTGTGTCTTTGAGCTGATCAAGGTTCTGAAGGATCTTGTTATACAAGTTTCCATATTTCGCGCTGTGGAGTATGCAGGGCAAGTAACCCAACCTCTGGATTACAGTCAGGCAAATTAGTATTTTGGTGGTGTTAAGGTATTTCTTTCTGGGCAGCTGTATATCTCTACTAGTTTTGCTTAATTTTGCTCCATCCATAAAAGTAGTTGTTGCTTAATGATTTGCGGATGCAGTGAACTTCTGATGTGTCTATTACCCTTGGTATTTTTTGGTGTGTTATATCAAGTGGCATGGTTTATAAAATGATCACTATAAGCTTTTATTATATTTGGGAGTAATCAGTATATATGTGCAATCCAGGTCAGTTTCTTACATGGATTTTTTCCCTCAATTGCATGGTCACAACATGAGCTTTGATTTTTATGACGGCAAAGATTTGCCTTGAACTGTGAAAATTCTTAGTTTTGGAAGTTTCTCAGGGTTTATTCAGACATCCCAATTTAAAATGAAACAAAAAGGCAATTTTGAGAATTCTTAGGATTTAACCTATTTTAAAAAATTGGCATGATTACAAAACCTTAAAATTGAGAAAAAGTTTTTTGATTTTTTCAGCCAGGATTGCCTCTTACTTCTGAGTGTATCAAAAAGTATCATTGTAGCCCTTTGCTTGATAAAATAAAGTCCAGATTGAGTGCTTAGAATGGGCTTAATCATTCTAGAGCTGGCAGACTTGAACTTTTTTGTTATACTCTTTCACTTTCCTCTGGTGGTCTGCATTTAAACTTCCATCCTCTGTGGTATCGAAGCTGAAAGATACTGATGGTTCCAGGAAAAGTCACTGTTTGAACTGGAAGGGGGTCACTGTAATACCCCGATAATTTTAAAAGATTTATTAATTAGGATTAATTATTTTATTTTATTTTTCAATGATTTATTTTATTTTTTTGAGTGCTAGATCAATTATCTTATTTTAATTAAGTTATATTTCGTGATTATGTATGATGATTGATTGTTTGTGTGGTTGATTATTGATTGAATTATTGGTGTGTTGTTTTTATTGGTATTATATGACTTAGTTGTAAATTCTTGTTTGTTTATGTGCTTCATGTAATTAGTTATTTTAATTTCTGTATTTAATTAATTATCTTATTTATTTAAATTAATTGGATTGGGCTTAAGGAAAGTTGGACCAAAAGATGTGGTCTTGGGCTTGTATGAAACCTTATTGGGTTAATAAATGAAGGTCCGTGCTTATTTAATTATTTAAATGATCACTTTTGTATCAATTATATATATATATATATATATATATATATATATATATATATATATATATAAATATAATTATATATAAATATAATTAATTAATAATTGTTATGGAAAGATATATATATAGATATATATTTATATTTATTGATATTTATAAGTATATATGATTTAATTAACTAATGAGTTAATTATGGAAGGAATATATATTTTTATATATATATATATATGTTTATAGATATAAATTATTTAAAGATTATTATTTTAATTCATAATACTAGTTGGAATAGGATTTGGAATTTAAGGTGTATAAAAATACACATAAGGCTTTAGGGTTAAAGGTTTTACACGTTAGAAAAATAAAACAGACAGAGAGAGAGGAAGAAGAAGGGCTGACAAGGAGGAGGTCGGATCTGAAAAGGAGGACGTCGGAATTGGAAGAGATAATTAAAGCTTAAAGCGTCGGTTTCGTTTCGAAACCTTCAGGCGAGTTTTCTCTAACTTTCCTCTTAGAACCATAAGGATTTCACCTTGAGTATCAAGGCTTTAATTAAATTTATTTGTTTAAAAATTGTGGTTAGATCGGAATAATTAAAAAGTATAAACTATTATATTTGATTTTTAGATTATTGGATTTTAATTGATATATATAGGTGTTATGTATATCTTAAAATCAATCTATAGGTGGATTTGTGACCCAAGAGAGTTAATTATGGTTTCTTTATTTTCTAGAATTGTTCTGTAATTTTCTGGAATTTTTCTGATATTTTTAGGAATTTATTAGGATTTATTTTCCTTTTATTTGTTAGGAAAATAATTATATATATATATATATATATATACACTAGGTAACTGGCGCATGTGGAGTGGCGGCACAATAAAGAATTGATCCAGTGCGGCGCGGTGTAGGATAATAGGGTGTATACGCCAATTAGGGCCATTTGATTAATTAAACTTATGTGAATTGATATGGTGCATCGCGGCGCATAAAACTTTGGTGCGCATGTGTATCTGGACCATAGAAGTGGTCTGGTCAACTATGGGATTATTTGGTGTATTGCAGACCATGAGAAGATGGTACACTCGCTGATTTGGACCTTAGATCTATTATAGTTAATAGAAAATAATCTAGTGTGAGCGTGTTCATTTGCGCACTCATTTATAACCATTGGATGCGGCATAAAGGAAGTGATGGATTCAGTGTGGTGAGCTCACGGTAGCTGAAAGAGCTTAGCCAATACCAGCACACAAGGAGGCTTAAATCCAGCGCGTGCAAGTGCATAGTAAGCACGTGGGCGCGCGTGGGAAACTATGTTGGCCTAATTCGACACTAGAAATTAAAACGGTCATAACTTAGTCATTTTAAATCGAAATTGGGTCATTCTTGAGCTCAAATTCAAGGATTTTTCGTCTTCTTTCCAATGGTACCAATTTCATTATCAGATTCCCATCCTACTAGGAGATATTTATGTTTTAGTGAGAAAGTGTCGGAAAACTATTTAAACCAATATGGAGTATTTAAAGGAAACTATTTCTGACATATTTAGTTGCACTAATTTGTGTAAATATAATAAATTAATAATTTGTTATGGAAGGAAGTGTATATATATATATATATATATATATATATATATGTATATTGATTTTAAATAATCAAGGATTATTAAAGAAGGTGTTAAACACATATATACATTAAATAACATATGTGTAGGTATATATATATATAAATCATTTAAGATGATTAATATTATCATTCTTATTTGGCATATCTTAATAGGCTGGTTGTTAAATTAATGATATGCGTATAATATGCATGTGATGGCTATGTATGATTTAGCGTATTGTTAATTTTAAAGTTAACGCATGGTTAAAGTGTGGGCATGGATGAATTGTCAAGTGATTAAATATATTACCTAAATATTTGTATGAATAGAATACATATATGGAAAGCATGGATGAATTGTTAATTAAATGTATGAATAAATATACCTGTGGAGGCATGGTTGAATTGCCAATGTATAAATATACATACACGGAGGCATGGTTGAATTGCCAATGTATAAATAAATATACTTATGGAGGCATGGTTGAATTGCCAATATATAAATAAAAATATTTATAATGGCATGGTTGATTTGCCAAAGCATAATTACGTTGTTATGTGTTAGATGATTAGAATATCATCTATGGTTGTTGTATGTATGGATTGGATTAGGGTTAGATATTCTTAAATGAGAATAGTTTAGTACTTACTGGTTAGTGTATTATTTTACATTAATAAAATAATATTGGGGAAGACGTGGATGATTTGTCAAAACTTGGATTTTGGATATGTGATTTAAACAATTAAAATCATTATCGGGTTGGGATTAAATAGAGTATTTCTTTTATTATAATTTGTTGTTTAAATGATTAAACAACTGACTAGGATGGGATTAAGGTCAAAGGAGTTTTTATAAAATGAAATGGTAGATTGGTCTAGGTATGAATATTATTTTAATAATTATTTAATAGGTATGGAAATTTAATAAACCTATTAATGGATGTGATTAGTATAGTAATTATATATAGACATGTATATCGTGCTTTATTAAAGTTAAAACTTTATTAGGTTTGGTTTTGATCAGAGATGATCTGCTTATTGGTTTTCAGAGGCCTGGTAGAGTGAACTTGCTCGTAGGGTTTAACCCACGATTTATTTTTCAGGTTATTAGAGGTTCCAGTCTCGAGGTTGAGGATCCGCAGCTGGGAGACTGTCATTCGTCTATTCATCTTGTGTACTTTTAAATAGTATTGGATTATTGGATAATGTTTTAAGGGGTCCTTGAGTTATGGGATTTCCGAATTGTAATTGTTGGAGAATTATTAAGTAATATTTATTTATTAGTTTTCTTCAGCGGTTTATTTATTCTTTATTATTCATCTTTGTATTCTGTGCTTGTTAAATACTTAAATTGTTTTGATATCCCTTGATTTTGTGCGCGGACTTGATCAATCCGTGTTCCAAAATTAGGGGGTATCACAGTCACTTCTCCTAAAGTTGAGAGTGGTTTTTGGATTATGGACAATTCAAAAGATTGTCTGTGGGTGGCCTGGTTTCAAAGGAGGCATCCTAACTGTTCGAGGTATTGGAAATATATGCTGGAGTTCAGACCATTTCTTCTTCAGCATCTCTCCTATCAGATTATTCTTAGACCCTTGGTGTAATGGACAAAATTTATTGCAAACGTGCTCTCGTAGTCTTTACAGATCCTTAATCTTCCAAAAAAATGCTGCTGTTAGTGACCTTCTTGATAATGGCAGATGGAGGATTCGAACTTTATCTTCTTCAATTTCTGTCTCTCTGTTGCCTATTCATTCAGGTAAAGACAGAATGGCAGTGTTGGAGAACTTCTCTTCCTGCTGTTTCCTGGTCTTCCTTGAGCTGGTGTGGTTGCAGACCGAGGACATCTGTTACTGCTTGCATTATTTTCTGGAACAAGAACCTGTTCTTTTTCAACTTGCGGAAGAGAGGCTTTACTCTTACTTTGATTTTTCATCTTCGTTTTGGAGCTGAGGATTGCAATGATCACCTGTTCTATTGTTACTTTTAACAGTCAGTCTCATCAGCACAGAATTGCTAGAAGGCTAGTTGTAACTCTTCTACGGAGTATCTGGACTGAGAGAAATGCTGGTCTACACGGGAACAACCCTAGGGCTGCTGAAGACATTGCAAAATCGGCCTGGTGGGAAGTTCTGGATAAGTTGCAAGAATTGAGCTTCATTTTGTCATATTATGTATACCATCGTGGCTGTAATTGCTTACTTCCACTTCCTTTGTTACTGGAAGTGGCATTTTTCTGTGTCTTCTGTTTTGTATTGAAAGGGTATGGCTTCTCTTATTAACCATGTACCTCATTGTCTGATCTTTTAATACAATCATTTCATTTAGGGAAAAAACAAATCAAAATAGGGTATCTACAGTACCAAGATCTAATCAAATTTTATTCTTGTGATCAAAATTCGAATGAGTGGTGTACGTCCAATGATACCGGTGGGGACAAGACTTATCTATTCATCAATGAGTAGGTCATCCCTATTAACCGATGATGTGGTCCAATATAAAATGCATAAATAGCCTCTAATTACAAAATCAAAAAATTGACAAATAAGGAAATGTCCATTAATTTATTCTAAAAAAAGTTATTGTCCTTATTTATCACTTTTCTAATTTTATAATTATGAATTATTTGTATATTTTTTATTGGACCATATCAGCGGTCAATAAGGATGACCTACTTATTGGTAAATAGACTAGTCTTGGTTGATCCTACAAAAGACATACTAATTGGTTGATCCTACAAAAGATATACCGAGAAAGTTGTTAAAACTAACCTTAGGGTTTTGCATTTTGAACCAGTATTTCTGAAATTCCTTGTAATATTAGTTCTCTAACTCTATCTTCTTATTTTTTCAACTTACTTCCATTATATAATTTAATATATATATATATATGAAGGAAGTGCAAAAAACACCCCTAAAGTATACTTTTCATAGCACCCCCTATTTGAAAAAGTATGCAATAAACACCCCTAATATTTTGAAACTGTACAAAATTACCCCTCTGTCAGAAATCTGACATAAATTAGTGTTGTAATACATATTTTACCCTTTTACTCTTTTGAAAATGCCCAAGGGGGTATATATGTTACTAATCTCATACTATAGGGTGTTTTGTGCACATTACCTTATATATATATATATATATATATATATATATATTATTTTTTTCCTCTGTATATACACCTTTAGTGTTTTCTCTCTCTATACTTCCTCTAACATTTCTCTCTCTCTCTAGCATTGTATTTCTCTCTCTATCTTTATTTTTTTCAGCTAGAGGCATACAATAATATTACATGGAATCTTCAACCTCAAAAAATCGTTCTTACTCATATGGAAGGGCAAAAAAATGTTACGGCTATTGTAAAGATAGAAGTTCTTTGAAGATTTCAAATACAGAGAGAAATTCGGGTAGAAAGTTTTATGGTTGTGCAAACTATAGAGCTGGTTCATGTGGTTTTTTTAAGATGGAAAGATGAAGAATTGTCCGAGTACTACCGTAAATTAGTTTTGGATCTTATGACAGGCGTGCAAGAGTTGCAACGAGCTAAAGTATCAACAAGATTTCAGAGGCACCCATGAATGTGAAGGATGAAAGGTTATTGGAGCTAGAAAATATGATAGTAGACTTGGGAAAAGAAGTGAAAAAAACTGCTGAAGTTCAGCCATCGGTACCTACTGTTGCCGGAATGTGTTTTGGTTCGTTTGGCATTTTTCTCTTTAGCTTCTTGACCTGTATTGTATTTCTTAAGATATTGATGTGAATCTGTTATTTGAGTTCCTGTATTGTATGCTTGTATTTTATTTTCTGTTGTAAATTTGTTCATGTAATATTGCGTTCAACTTTAATGCTTTAACCATATGAATGAATACCTGTCATCACTAAACATTCAACTATATCAATGCATTCATCTAACCTGTCATTCATTTAACCATTCAACTATACCAATGAATACCTTATTAACAAGCACTCACTAAACTTTAAATAGGACAAAAAAAAAAAAAAAAAAAAAAAAAAAAAAAAAAACATCCAAAGCACCTTCAAAAATACAATATGAATGAATACATGTCATCACTAAACATTCAACTATACCAATGCATTCATCTAACCTGTCATTCATCAAACCATTCAATAAGTGCAAACCATATTCATCAAACCATTCAACTATACCAATGAATACCTTACTAATAAGCATTCACTAAATATTAAATAGGACAGAAAAAAAAAAAAATATCATCCAATGCACCTTCAGAAACTTGTAGGAATTGGAATAGTTAATGTACCAAAATAATCATCCTAAACAAAACCAAGTTTCACCTTTGGGGATATAATGTGAAATTGTAATGATAACCTCCACGGTGTTAATAGTCAATTCTACTATGACTATACCCACGACCATGTCCATGATTGTGAAATAAGCAGTTTTTGCTTTAGGAGTCGTTTTCAATCCAGTGAGACTGGAAATATCTCAATAAAAGCTCATCACTTACTTTCTCACAAGTAGACATGATATCGGCTTTACATAAATCCACGCATTTGGTGTGATCAGTGGAGTATCTCTTTGTTAATATATGTCCTTCAGTAATACTTTCCTACACATCAAATATTTTATAAATTTACACCTTTGGCGTGATAAATGGATGATGTTCTTTTCAAAATATACTCATGAGTAATTATTTCTCCACATTATCTTAATATAACTTATAATAAACAAACCCGAATTATATTTCCAAATTATTTCATAATCCTGCAACCACAGTTGATAAGTGCTGAAATATGCATATTTCAACCCTAATCTCGAATATTCTAGACCTTTCATCTATCTTTACTTTCCCGTTTTAGTCCTAATTTATGTTTTTGTCAATTTCAGGTCAATAAGATTCAAACGTGCTAAAATCAGTTTATTAAAATCTTTTTGGAGTTAAGCAAATGCATCGAGAAAAGTTCCAAAAATTGCTAAAAAGGGGGTCACGATCGATCGCAAGTCCAATCAGCGGAATGCAAGTCACATCATCATGATCGTTTGCAAGTCATCACGATCGTTCATACCAGAGTTGCAGTTGATCGCAACACTGTGCGATCTATCGCAACTTGTGCTGAGGGCCTGTTTTGATGCTCGGTTTTGGCTCGAACTTCACCTACCAAGGGGCTACGGGATTGCATCAATTTTGGGGCACATTTCTGACCTGTTTGGGGCTCCAAGAGACTTCTATAAAAGGGGAATTGAATCATCTTTATTCGGGGAGCTACTATTATACATGTTAGTTTTATTTTGTAGATAGTTTATAGAGAAAATTAAGGTTAGAAGTGAAGGCAAGAAATCTCTAGATACACTCTCTCTAAGGTTTCAAGGAAGAAGAATAAGAAAAGGAAGATGAAGCAAAGCATGGGGATTAATCTTAAGCTCTCCTTGACCACATCTACCTTCTCCATGAGCAGTGGCGTAGCCAAGAATTTCCTTCAGTGGGGGCAATTTTTAACAACAACAATATATATATATATATATATATATATATATATATATATATATTATTTGAACCAAAATAATATATGTAAAAATTAAACAGTACTAAATATTTCAGAATATTTTTCATATTCTGAAAGCGTGCAGTCGAGTTTTCAAAATGTTCATGGTATAATAATAGTAAATTTAGATGATACAAAAATATATATCAGATTACCTGTCTTCGCACTGTAGTATTTGTTTGGATTTTATGAATTTTTGAAATATTGAAAACTCGTTGAAAGAGAAATGTTGAAGATTGAAAATGTGATGGAAATTAACAACGTATTTGTTTGTGGTGAAGTCAAAAGTGTGAAAGAATATCTTGTATTTTTGGGGAAAGTGAGAAAGAATATAATATTTTGAAAAAGTGGAAAAAAATATCATATATTTTGGAAAGATTATATTCCTTTTTTTTATTTTTTTATTTTATAATACCGTGAATGGTCATTTGGTTATATATATACATATACATATATATATATATATATATATATATATATATTATATGTGCAATGTCAACTTTTAGTGGAAATAATTATACAAATATAAAAATCTTTCCATATAAAATTAAAAAAAATTTAAAAAAATTAAAAATTCAGTGGGGTCAACTGCCCCCACTTGTCCCTACATGGCTACGCCACTGTCCATGAGTAGCTGGTCTTCTCCTTAGGACTTGGATGAGCCCTAAGCTTGTGTAATCTAAACCCTTGCTCTTCTATTTTTGGGGATTCATATATTGTAATTTGTGCTATAGTCTTGTGTAATGAAAACTTGGTTGTACCAAGGATTTTATGTTTAATTCTTTGTATTGATTCTCTATGTTGGTTACATTTTGTCTTATGTGTGATCAATTGAAAATTGATCTCTACGCTAGATACTTTTTGTATTTGTATTTAGTGATGGCTATGCATGGTTTTTATTCGATGTAACTGTTAATTAATTTTATGGATTATGCTTAGACTTGATGAATTGCATTACACCTTAGTTTACTTGTTGATTAGGTAGACAATTCATACTTGATTTTGATAGTCCATGCTTATTATTACAAATTGCATTATTCTCTCGATTGGTATGTGCTTGTAGCCACATTTTGATTACAATTTAATGTTTTCCCCAGTTAGTTGAAAACAAGTGGTTTGATGCATGATCTTAGTGGTGATTTGTATGCCTTAAGACTCTTCTCCTATCTTTTAAACTCTAGTCAATTTAGCTTAATTTATATTGCATGATTTAAATTGAACATTAGTTTAATCACCAAACAAACTTCCTTTAAATCTTGTGATTCATTAAAGTCAAGTTAGATTCTAATAGCGTGTTTAATCCCTAACGACGATCCCTTCTCACTATACTTAATGTATGTGTTAAGTGGATTTTATAAAAGTAAAAGTTGATGCCCACTTGCACTTTTAATTCTAAATATTTAGACACATTTATGTGCACACACTAAGGAAAATATTAAGTTTTTAGCACCGTTACTGAGGATTAACGGTTTTTTTTTGAATCAAATTAGACATTAGTGTTCATTTGATTGCAAGTAGGATTAATTTCCTACTATTTTCTTACTTTTTGCTCTATATTCAATTAGGTACTTAATCACAAGAGAAGCGAGCATTGGAACATGATGTTATTTCTTGGGACCAATGTGAGCGATTATTGAATTCTTACTATAATTGTTCATCTCTATATATACTTGCGAGATAGTGCTTGTTGAGGCTATCACATTGTTTAATTTCTTATCCAAGCATAGGTCCTTTTCGAGGCCATTTATTTTAATGTTCAAAGCATGGGCCTTGTCGAGGTTATTTCTTTAATGCATTGATATATTGAGGAGAACGGGAACATCATATGTGGAGGTTGTGA